TTTTTTTTTTTTTTTCTAGATTTGATTGGTGTTGAAACATATGATTGTAAGATCAAGCTTATCAAATAAGAAACAAATGTCCTTGTCAAGATTGATGCTTTTAGTTAGTCAAAAGCATGACAGCTAAAGAAGAATCTATATCCATTATAACCTATTATTTTCATACCAAAATTTGTAGAAAATGCATCTAATATCTTGAAATATGCATACTTCATTCTCAAACAGATGCTACACTACACTAATGTAGTGATGTAGGGAAGCGTACGAATGAGAAGGATAAACGAGTAAACGAGATACTCTCTCGTAAAACACGTAAAACTCACAATTAATTCATTTTCTTATTCAAAATCAACTTGAGATAACAAAAGAGGGGGAGTCCTTTATATAAGGCTCATAAACCCTATTCCTAACTTGTCCAACAAGACAAGATCTTATAATAATATCTAAGCCTAACATATTCTCCAAGATAACTAATAATAATAATAATGATAATAATAATAATAACAATAATAATAATACTAATATTATTTTACACCATTCTCCTCCGGTTCGGAAGGCTTCGCCCTCGAAGCCGATGTGCTCCCGTGGCCGGCGTGTGGTGTCGAACTCATGGTAGCAAACCCCGTCATTTTCCCCGGTCGAACACGAAGGTTGAATATCGCTCAACTTCACATAACAAATGGAGGAGATCAGATCTTTAGCCTCGTAAGACATTTTTTGTTCTTCAGGGAACTTCAAACATGGTCTCCAATTTATTATCTTGCGACATGCCAATGAACGATGATTGTGTTTCCACTGTTGTAGCGCAATTTCTGTGCCCAAATGCCCGTGGTGCTTATTTTTAGAATACGGAGCAATAAAATCAGCAACCTCTAGTAACATGAATGAATTTTTTTCCAGTGGCTTAGACAAGCCAAAACCAGAAAGCGTCACCTCGGGCCCCAGAGGCTCTTCATCGAAAATAGGCGGACCATCGTAGAGGTCGTCCACTTCGCCGGTAAGACGCTCCTCGACCTCCTCGGGCCCTTCATCAAACACAGGTGGACTATCGTACGATAGCCCGTCAACATGCTCTTCGTCGAATTCAGGGATGTCTACACGAAACGGGCCCTCCCATCGACCATAATCACGATCAAATTCCAAATCGCGTCGGGCACGAGATCTGTCGACGATGGCAGCTTCTTCGCGCTTGCCTATGTCGTCGCGTTGATCGTCGCCGTCCACGAAGACCGGGCCCCGTCGCTGCATGTCACGGCCGCCGTATGCAGCGAAGGGGTCAGCCTCAACGTGCGGGGGTGGAAAATCGTCGAAGGAATTCATCTCCGAGACTGTCTCCTTGCCGCCTTCGTCACCGTACGGTGGTTGTGGAGATCTCCAGCAGGGCGCCCCACCTGGACCACGGCCTCCACGTCCTCCGCGAATTCCCCCGCACACGCCCCGGTTGCCGGCGTCACGGTATGTTTGCTTGTCCTCAACCACGTTGTTGATCGTAAGACGCACTTCTTTGATCCCCGTCGAAAGATCCCCAACCTGACGATCCAATTGATTGATCTGGCAACCGAAGCCCGTGGCTTGTCGACCCGGATACTCAATGGTGGCGTCACGCCCGTCGATGTCGTCCTTCTGCGGCGACATCTTGAATCGTGCTGACTTCTGATACCAACTGATGTAGGGAAGCGTACGAATGGGAAGAATAAACGAGTAAACGAGATACTCTCTCGTAAAACACGTAAAACTCACAATTAATTCATTTTCTTATTCAAAATCAACTTGAGATAACAAAAGAGGGGGAGTCCTTTATATA